AAGTAAAGATGACATGATACATAATGTTTAAATGTCTGGACGGGAGATGATGGGTATTGTATTAGAGGATAAAACGCAACTAGGAAATATTCAGACTTACTGGCAACTTGGACGAAAACTGGAAGCAGTTCATGGGTCAGCAGTGGCTCTGAAAGATCGTAAAGGACGGATTTTAGACCGGCGGCCAAGTCGTGCACATTCAAGTGCTGTGTCGAAGAGGAGGCCTGCGCCCCGACGTGGGCCCGACCATTGCGACGGGCTGGTGGGTACTCGGAGGCGAGAGGATCGAGTTTGGAAAGATCAAGTGGTTCAGAGGAAAGAAGACGACGTCGCAACTCTCTTTGTCTGAGCACGTTGCCGGTTTTTCGGAAGATTCCCTCACACCTTAAGTCTAAAAACAGGAGGCATAGCCGATTAGCAATTTCGACATTGGCAGAGAGCAATTAGTCGACTGGTGAATGATCTTACATTCCGGCCGGTCCAGATGATCCATCAGTTGGAGCAGATTGTTGACGACATGATCGGGAATGGGCTGCTGCAGAAGCGACCTGATTTGGCCCAGTCCGAAGCGTCGCGGTGTGGCTGCAACGGAAACGGGACGAAAAAGTGTAAAGAGGAGTGTAACAAGAGTTGGAGTAATGCCTAAACGATGTGCCAGAATGCAAGCCAAGTGATGAGGTAAAGACGTACCAGGACACGGTGAGCCATTCGAATGGGAATAGGGGCAAACCTGTCCGATACGTCAAGGCGAGGCGAGGCGAGGCGAGGCTAGATCTGTCAGCAATCCGACTGGTCACGAGTCAAACGAGTCCGGATCGCTTTCGACCCCGGCCGAAGGAGGATACAGTTAACGCTTGAATGCGGTTACTAAGGGGAGAGCATCTCTTCTGAAGGCAGACATAACCGCGGGCCAATAAAAGAGGACGCCGAAGCGCGGCATCAGATCGCGGGGGGCTAGCCCATGTCGACTGTCGGGCGGTTGGCAAAGCCGACCCAGCGGGTTGGCCGGCCGATATGACTGGCTGCCGGCCAAATTTAGGTGTGATAAATGCAAGTCATCTGGCCCTGCATAGTACGGATCAACTGAACGAGTTGTGTTGATAATGAGGGGGTATGATGGCCGGGATCCTAATCCTGCCCAAACACATCAACAAGCCGGCCATGATAAAAGCATAAACAGTCCGGCTAGAGGACAGAAGCAAAAATACTCTCTACGCTTGTCAATGCAGGATGGCCTGAGTGGATCTAAGCGCAAAACGCTTCTGCCAAGGGATTAAGGAAATAGGAAAAAGTGGCCTGGCAACCGATAGGCTTAAGTTTTTGGCAAAATGTTAGCGAGATGTTGTGTGGTGATTTGATATTGTGCAACTGGTGGATCATCAGCTGAATGGGTACCTCGAGAGTTGTATAAATCCGAGAAGGTGCACACAGTTCCGGTGTTGGATGAGCCAGGAGTGAGGAAACGTGTCCACGGGCCGGACGGCCAGCGAAGGGTTGACGGTGTGAAATAGCGTCCGGGACTGAGCGACTCGTGTCCAGACGTTTGCATCGTGTCGTGACGCGGGTGAAGCCGAGCAAGAGGCCGCCGCAAGTGGCCGTAAGTTCCGAGTCGACGCGAAAGTTCGTTAGGATTGGCGGAGGCGCCCATGGACGCATGAAGAGGATCATGCGGCGGACTTAAATAATGCTCGCGGGCCTCGAGGAAGTCAATCGGCAAATCCACCAAAATGGAGAGATGGAACTTGCATAGAGCAAGAAATCGTCTTGGATACCTCTCACAGAATCGTTCGTGCCGCGAAGACAGGGGTTCGGATTTGGCCAGCCATCGGGCATATCTGCACAAGTCAGCCTGAAAGATACAAAAAGTTAATAAAATCCCCATTTCTGTAGCAATTTAGCAAAGCAATAGGCCTAGAATTGTGCTCACTTTAAGGTCGCTTGATCTGTCTGCATCGGGTAAGTTGTCAGACGCATTGAAGGGACTCGCGGTTTGCCGAGCCGGGGCGATATCATTGCTCATTGTGTAAGCGCTTAGGCACTCTGCCAGGACATTAATACGGCTAAGGGTGAACAAGGCAGGGAGGGGGAGCTTTGCGAAACTCTCGTGACCGAGTGTCCGAAATATATACTGAATTAAGCTCACCTGTCTAAACGCTGATTGGATGAGCCGTTGTCCAATCAAAAGCGTCTACTGGATGAACCATTCTGACAGACCCAAGACAGCCTCTCGATGGGCTCTTCACATCTGCACATCCCATTTGTTTGATCCGATCCAATGGCGGCTCGGAGAGATAGGCTCGATGGGGCAGTCGGCATGGCTGGCTTTCTCAAACATTCATAATGCATACTAAGCTTTCTTCAGATAA